AAAAAAGGGATGGTCAGATGGACCTAGACCAAGTTGTAACAGGTTGTGGAATAAAGTGTCATAGTATTGGTTTTATTTTATTTTTCAAAATCTAAATGTTGCACAACGCTGGTAGATGGTTGTCTGACGGAAAACACGGAGAAAAATCTGGTCCCAATCTATCGTTCTGCTTAAATGGATAAGTACTCTTCGTATGAGATCTATATTTCACAATAAAAACATTGTGAACAACTCCTAGAAATATTATTTATTCTGTTGTACAAGAAAAACGGCAGTTATAGCTATTATTCTGATATCTGAGCTTGTCTTTAAACCATGTGACCTCCAATGATGGCTAAACAAACTTTTTAGAAAAAAAAAACAGGGACTAACTTTGAATGTACAAATGTATTCATTAACCATTGGTAAGCACGGGGAAATGGTTGTTTACTCCAGGAAATTTTTTTTTTTTTTTTTTTTTTTTTTGGCCAAAACGAAGAGTTATTATCCCTTTAAGGGCTAAATACTTGTGACTGATTAACACGTGAATATCAAATACAAACCACATAATCAAAGTTACTATCTTCATAGTAAATACTACCAAATAGAACATAGTCAACGATTTTATGTGATTACCGCTATGGTATTTCAAATTAAAAACGCAATCAAATTTAGTTTCCAGAACTCTACAGCCTGTTTTATCTTTAGGCAAAATGTTGGAATATTAAGACTAAGAAGAAGTATATGTCTCATACAATATAAAGGTCCACTGTTCTGCACTGCAGGCTAAAATATCGAGAATTTCTTGTCCACCTGGCAAATATAGAGCAGTCTTTCAATACTATCGGGTAGTATAAAGAGTACGAGCGGAGATATACTGCTGTTTTACATAAGGGTCAAGCCTCTCAAATATTTGCCTCTGGTGATAATCGACAGAACATTTCAGATGATGCATATCTTGAGTATTTTGAGTTTACTAACTGTGAAGACCGCCTTGGTCGGGATGGCGGTATTCCTGTTGGTGATGTCATATCTACAGAGGAAGAAGTACAAACTGCCGCCAGGACCTCCTCAGCTGCCGATACTGGGGAACTACTTCAGTGAGACAATTTTAAAACTAACTCAAATATACAAATAGCAAATATTCACAAAATATTTTTATTTCATTTAAATCAACAAACTTCTTTCTTTATAATTTCTTTATAATTAATGATTTAAATCCTATTAGCATTTTGGACACTGGTTACATGTTTTGCAAATCCAATCAATTTTGGTTTACTCAATTAAATGGTTTAAAAAATGAGCATATCTATTTTTCTATTGGAAAGTTATGTGTATATAATTTCAGCATTCAGAAAGGATGGCCGAATGTATGCTGTCTTTACCAAGCTCGGGAAGTCATTCGGTGATATTTTCACTGTTAATTTCGGTACCATTCTTTGTTTTTATATTCTTGTAATTTCATTGTCATGTAGAAGGATGCAAGTTTTAAATCTAAGCACTTATAGGTACTAGTGTTCAGTTCTCCTGGTATATATTAAAGGCCACACTTATCGGTCTCTCTCTCTCTTCCTTTTTTTATTTTCGGGGGGTGGGGATAGGGCTGTGTGTGTTTTGGCACACGTTGAATCTATATTTTTCTTCATTACAGTTTATTCCTAGGGCATATTGCGAGATGTCTATCATTCTGTACGATAAACGACAAAAGGACATTAATGTATTGTTCTGCACATTTTGTGCTTACAGGCTTTGGTAACACGGTTGTAGTTTTAAACTCTGCAGAAATGGTTCACGAGGCGTTTGTTGAGAAGAAAGAAATATTTGCGGGGAGGGACGAAATTAGTTGGAAATGTGAGTAACAGACAGTTTGTATTGACAGAGAGGCCTCCAAACATATTTTGTACGATGTTCTTCTTAAATACATTAATTCGGACGATATGGATAAGTGGACTTTTCCAGTCGCCATTGTAAAGTGCATGTACAAGATATTGTACATGGCGCATGATTGTTGGGTTTTTTTTCTTCTTTTCAGTAATCAATATTTGAATTTGTTAACCAAGACAAAAAGTAAGATGAGTGGGTGATAGTCTTCATTTCTTTTGCTTTTGCATCACATAATTAAAATGTAGTTACACATAACCGCACTATGAATATTTTTTGTCAGTCGAACTCTTCAGCGGAGGTTTCAAGGACATAGGTTTTGCCAATTATGGTCCCGTGTGGAAATTACAAAGACAAATGACTTTAAAGGCATTCAGGTATAATGATCTAAATATGGGTTTACGTTTTGGTACACTTATAAAGAGAAATGTCACCTTGCATAGGTATATCTGCACATTGAATGCATGTTTAGATCCAGTACTACTGTACATGTGCGTGGCTACTTTTTTAACTTACGTAAACAACCCCCCTTTCTGTCGTGAATGTATAAATAAACATACATGGTTTAGTCAAAAGTCATAGAGGGCATTCCCAAAGTTTTAAATCTACCCAACTAAATCGACCTAATTCCCTGGGGGTTCATGCTAAATTGCTGTCAGCCGACCGCGCACGGAAGTTAATAACCCCTCCCAGCTTTTAGTAGGCGGGACAGACTGTCTAAGCTGACAGTAATCTAGTGAGACTCCCCACGGGGATAGATAGATCTAAAATCTGTGGAAATGGGGTCATAGATGTTCATGCACTGTTTTCACCGTTTAGGACATACTTAGCAGGTGATAAATTGGAATCATTCACGAGGTCCGCTTTTGATGAAGTCGCCACCTTGATTGAAAAGGAGACCGAGCCATTTGACATAGATGTTCACATCCGGTTACTTGTCTTCAACATTGTCTGCAAGATGGCGTTTGGGAAAAGGTATATCATTTAAGTACATCAGTTAAAGTGCTTTATTTATGTATGTAAACATTTATCCTCTGAAAGGCACGTTCAAATGCCCCTTCGCGTATCTTTACAATACACACTCATCAAACTGCATTGTGTCTAGCCAAAGTGTACCGTCTGTGGCTGCATGTCCTTTGAATTGTAAATATTCCACTTATACCGGTAAGGGGAGCTGCTTTGGTTTTGTAATTATGATGAATTTGGTGTTATAAAAAATGGACATAAAGAGACATCTAGTATAACACAATTTAATATGGCCTCTACAAATATGCACACCTTCCTATTCTTATTGATGCTACTGTGACAATATTCTTCTTCTCAACGGCATATAAGTGAGAATGCAGTAATGCTGTAATGAAGATGGCGGTGAATGTGTATATCCAGATAAAAGTATATAACATATACATATACATATGCAATTGTGTTGTCAATACCATGTTAATCAATCTACCCAGTAAAAGCCCAGACGGGACCATGCGGTTGCCACGTTATTACTTCAACATTGTATACGCAACGTGTTATAACCACGTAATACCAGCGCGTAAACCACGCGATCCCAACCTGATGGACACTCCAAAGCATTTTTATGTCTTAAGTTATATAATGTGGAACTGGGCTGATCATGACGACAGATAACCTTGAAACCATAAATCGTATAGTAGCCCAAAAGCGTTGTTATTATGTTATGACTCTATGGATCACATATAATAGAAACAAATGTCTTTGATAAAAGCGCTTATATTTTGATAATCACTTATATATGCATGGAAACAGTGGGTTTTATGTTTGCATGTCGAGATAAATACTTTCTAATTCTTTTCAGCTACAAAATTGACGAACCTGAGTTTGTATGGTTGAAGACAAATCTGGAAAACACTATGCAAACCTTCTTTGGAGGTGTAGTTCCTACTGACGTCATCCCTGCCTTGAAGTATTTTCCTATTCCATCATCCCTCAAGATAAAACGACTCACGAATGACGTCATTGGTTTTCAAAAAGCCAAACTGGAAGACCACAAAATAAATTTAAAAACAGGTTTGCGATTTGTTGACATTTCACCCAAAATTAACGAAACTCTGTCCTTTCATATGGATATTTTTTCGGAAGTGAGAGTACTGATATCACTCATCGGGGTTAAACATTTGATGAATTAATGGATTCATTAACCATTGGTAATTATGGGAAAATTGTTGTTTACTCCAGGAACATTCATTTTTTGGCCAAAACGAAGAGTTATTATCCCTTTAATTATATTCCTCTCAGAGAGAGGGGGAAGTCCTCCGGGGGAAAATTGTCCTGGGGGAGGGGGGATTGTCCTGGGGGAATGTCTGAGAATCATTTAAAATATGAATGTTTCTGTTAAGGTGAGGCCAGAGACATCATGGAGCAGATGTTGCTACTGAGAGAGGAGCTGACAGATGAAAGTGATGACAACATCAAGGAGTCGCTGACTGACACTCGCATCCTGCACACCTTATTGGATATATTTGTCGGTGGGTAAAAAAAATTAACGCGACATGTATTTAGCTTCAGTACTCTATACCGGTAGATGCTTTGTCAATGTATACGTTGAAGTTTTATTTCATCATAGTACTCGATAACAAAACCATATGTGTCGTTTGTACAGCAAAGTTACAGTAGCTTTCCTGTTTGCATGTACTCATTCCCTTCAAAAAGAAAAAAAAACATGTAATAAGTTCCAATTTACTTATAATTATAAAAATATATATTTTATTCGGCTAATAGATATGTAAAATATATATCCAAAACTAGATTCCCTCCGAGCTCTTAAAAGTGATAATAAACTGGAATAATAATAGTAATAATAATAATGATAATTATCATCAATTTGGATCTGAAAAATATAACGATTAATTACACGGTGTATAATATGATAATTATAATTAACTTTTTGAGTTAAAACGAGAAATAGCTAAAGGGTAAAGTTATAGCTTTGTAACTTGGTAGAAATGGAAACAAACTAAAAGCGGGGTGATGAAGGTCGCTCATCGCGCGTGCCCTGCTCCTCTCCAATATCTTTCAACAAAGATATTCCCAATATATGGTAATTCACGGCCAGTTATCTCATTGCGTGTGTTGACAATACTGTCCACTTTCCCCTTGACTCCGTTGCACCACTACATCCCGTTATTATAGCAAACATCCAAATATTCTCTATCGTGGCTCCAACACTGCATTTTAAACCCAAAATAAGTCTTAAATTCCTAATAATAAATCATCCTTACAATCCGGATAAAAAGTAACATATACAGGTACATGTAAATATTCGTGACTGATTACTTGGCCTATGTTTGTTCAGTTTTGAGGTTTGTGTGCAAAATAATAACTACATATTCCTAAGATGTCATAGATTAGCCTTCTGTAGAATAGAACTTATATTTTGTAGCTGGAACAAATACCACATCAGATACGTTGAAATGGATGATTATGTATGTAGCAGATAATCCGAAGATTCAGGCAAAAGTACACAAGGAATTAGACGGCTTAGGTAAACATGTTCCTCTCTCTTTTGTGATGATTTTGAAATATATCTTACTTGATAAGCCACATAATTCAGTATTATAGAAATCGGCATACTAGTACACGTAGTTGAAATTTTAACAAATTCCAAGACGTTGGCCCCATTGTACAAGTACTTTTGTTTTGGATACTTTGACCCTTTATGAAATATTAAACAAGATTTTAAGAATTTATTCCATTTTCTACACAGGTAAAGATTTCGACAATCTCCGTCACTGCAAGTCCAAGTTGCCTTACTTTGAGGCTGTTCAACGAGAGGTTATGCGCATGCGCCCTGCTGCCCCGGCAGGTCTCCGTCACCAGACCCTCTGTGACACCAAACTAGGTCAGTTATCATGACTCTCATTTGTTTTTGGTTTGGTACGCCTACAGGGTATAAATTTTACATGTGAACGGACGTTGTAACTTTGGGCAGCAGTGAATCTAAAAAAAAAAACGCCCCAAATATGTATTCCATGCTTTTAGAATTGACAATTTTCACATTCCTACAGTTTTGCTACTAACATCTCCAGTTTACACGACGATCAGTTGCCTAGCTAGCCGTTAGTAAAATCAAATATATGGGTATCCTTATAGCAGTGAACATTTTGTACATACATGTAAAAGCGGTAAGAGTGTTACTTTTAATCGGAGAGTATACGTATATATAGAAAGAGATTTTAGTTCATCACGCGCGCACTATAAACATCACCATTGATCAGTTCGTGATATACTGTCTATAGTAAGTAAAAATTAGGTTAAATGTCAATAAGGTGGTCTGATAGTTGAATTTTGATGCTAAGTCTTTATACCCTTATGGATTCTACGCAGGTGGCTACGATATCCCAAAGGGCACTCTTGTCTATGCAAATTTTTGGACAATCCACAATGACCCGAACATTTGGGAATCGCCGGAGGTTTTCAAGCCAGAGAGGTTTTTAAACAAAGATGGCAGCTTGAAAGAGTTGGATAACAAGGTTTGGGTGCCGTTCAGTAGTGGCAAGAGGAAATGTGTTGGAGAAGCACTTGCCAGGGCAAACATCATGATGATTTCGGTGAGTGCACGTGGGCACAATCTAAATACATTCTGGGACATACACGGTACACATTTTAGCACATTTGTTTGGTCTGGACATAGGGTTTTTTTATTTATTTTTATTTATTTATTTGTATTTACTTTTTTAATTAAACAGGACAAAGTAGGTATAAATATAAGCTACCCGGTAATGAGCACTTCATCAGCTTGATATATTTTAAAATATTTAAATACAAAGCTTATTAAATTGGATTAACTGATTCTAACCCATGATTACTTTAAACTTTCCACCTAAAAAAGCTTGCAAAACATATTCATATAATATATCATATAATATAGTTATATCATAACTATACATCCCTAACAGAAAGCATTGATCTATTTAATTGCAGGCACTATTTTTCCGTCGGTTTAAGGTGAGCTTCCCATTAGGCCAAAAGCCAGACTTCGAGCCTTCAAAACTTTATGAAATAAGTTGCAGCCCCAACCCTCAGAAGATTATTGTCCAGAAAAGAAACTGATGTTTGATGCCACGACGGTTTACGCGGACAGTTTTCAATAAGTCTCTAACTGGGTTGTTATTTGGAACACATTGATTAGATGGTTAACTGGCGTAGATAACAGTATTCTGAAAAGTTGCTGTAGTTTGGCTTAAAAATTGGCACTGGAATATAATCCCCTATGATATCGCCTATATAATCACAGCATTAAGTCCTACAATCAGTACAATCTTTTTGAAAGGTTCAGGCCTTCTACCGGGTATTTTATCGGTATGTAGGCGAGACAATTCCTTTGTTTGACGGAACATCGTAATTAGAAATCAAGGCTCACATATCTCACAAATAGACTGATAATTAAACTGGCATTATGTCCAAGGCACAAATATCAAATTATACATTAGTCTTGTTGCAAGAAATGGATTTATCATTTTAATTTTTTTTTTATTTTAAATTTAAAAAAAAGAGTGCTTTGTGTTGGATATAAACAAAAAGAATTAGGAGTGAAAATTACGGGTAGAGTGCCATTGTATTCGGTTATTTCTTCCGTTCGTTTTAGAATAAACTTGATTTCTTCCTTTTAATAATACCGGTATATCTTAGTATTCTTGTAAGCATCGAGGTTTAATTTCAATACAAAAAGGGTCACTTTTTTATCCAATCTTACGTATAACACGGACACCTTAACCATTTTTGATAAGATAATATGAGATAGAAGCTTCAAAAATCTTTCCAATCGAGATGACTCGATATGCAATTGTTGCTGTAAACCCAAACTGATTGCGATAACTGAAGTACTGCGCATGCGACGCAGGTAAGTTTACCTGCCCGCCGGCTCAGGTGTACCGACAGGTGAGCTTTCATCAGCCTCGATAGCGCAGTAGGCAGCGCGTCAGTCTCATAATCATGAAAACACCTGGGAAATCTGAAGGTCGTGAGTTCGATCCTCACTCGGGGCATGTCTTTTTCATCCGGGAGGGGGGGGGAATGAAACATTAAATAAAATCCCTGTCAAGTAATTCACCTAATTAGTTTCGCGCTATCTGTAAGGCACGATTTTCTTTTTTCAAAAATTCTCACCAAGTGGTGGTTGTGGGGGTGGACTTTTTGAACATTTTTTAAAATCTTTATGTGAAAAAATAGAATTATCCAATCCAAAGGGTTTGTTGCATCCCTAGAGCTCCCACGCTCCTAAATATTATCGTTTCAAAATATGATAAATTATGACATGTGAATTTAAGCTATTATAAACTCGTGGGGAGAAAAACAAAACTCGGGTAAAAGAAATAATTAATTAATAACTTTCCACCCAATGGATCCCATTACCACTACCTAAGTATTGACTATTGATAATAAGCATTATTATAATAACAACGTAAGAAATCAACTCTCTTGCTTGGCTATTTAAAAGCATAGATATAAAAATTATTTTTGTGAGAAAAAAGGGGAACCAAGGAGTTATAACTCCTTGGGGGAACCAACCCCTGCAGGGACAGTTCCAGACATAGTACTTAGCAATATGTAATCTCGTAAGGCAAATGCACTGACATAATGATACTAGTAAGCCTACTAGTAGACCTACTGTAGCAAAATAACAATGCCCAAAATTCCACTTTCTAAATCTTCACTCCGATGCATGGTTTAGAAGTAGATACATTTAGCAAAAATTAAAACGTCAAAAAAAAGCAATCACTCTCTAAGGACAGCCCAACCCCCGTCGCAGCAGAATCCCATACAGTGGCGGATTT